TAGGCTTTGCATTGCAGACAAAAGAGAGTGGAGTGCTGGGAGTCTTTATATATTTACTGTGTATATTTATGCATATATATTTAATATGTGCAATTGTATTAATGATCAAATGTTCCAGTACTGTTGCGAGGTATACATACAAGTTAGAACTATGTAGTGAGTGGCAGGAAGCTGATTGATGCTTCGCATTGCTTCGTGAAACCGTGGGGTGACTTCATGATGCTTTGCACACTTCGGGTCCTGCTCTGACATGTGTGATAGAACGCATGAGCATGATGATGAACCGGACGACGAACAAACCTGACCAAAACGAGTTGAGGAGTCTTCCAGAGGACTCGATACGTCAGTGACGTTGACCCTCCGCGGAGTCGCCGTGCAGGGTGAGTCGGAGGATTTGGCGGAGGCCTATCCCGGCCGTTTCGTGGCATACTTGACTCTTGGTCGGGCAATTCGAGAGAGAACTGGAGTCCTTCACAGAGATTGAGGGCCTGTGTTTGGTTGACGGTTTTAGGCAGGGATAAGATGGGGCAGAAGATAGCCCTTTTGGATGGTGACTGGTGGTGAGAATTGTGTTTCCAAATGTCCCTCAGGACGCGCTTCCTGCTGAACTTTGACACGGACTTTCAAAACCTATGGAAAAGTGCCAAGGCTGGTCGGGAGTGAAGATTTGGGGATATTTTTGCCCCATGGTCAGACGTCACCACAGTACTCAAGACGAGGTGAGAAAAGAAGACAACAATAAGCCCCCTTGTTTAATTGCACTTTGTTGCCAGTCGCGTGGCTCACGCTTTTTTTGAATTTGGTTCTTGCCTCTGGCTGCAGGAAAGCGAAGTTTCGATGGGACCGCTGCAATCACGAGAATTCCAGCGAAATGCACGCGCCGCGTCTCATATATTCAGTTCAGCACCTTAATTGGACCTTAATTATGCGAATGGAAGTGCAGCGACACGTACAGTGCAACTTGTACATATATATGTACTATATGTACTTTGGCTCAAGGATCAAGCGACTAGAAAAGGTGCGGTTTCCGTTCCGACGCTACGCCGCTTATGGACCGTCAGTGATAGCTTCAAACTTCGCTGATTAAGATCCACTCGCAGGTTATCAGCCGTACGCGCTCTTTATAGCCGTACGAGCTACACGAGACCAAGAACAAGACTAGTCATTACAGAAACCTGCAATGTCAAGCTCAGGAGGAAATGGAAGCGAACCCTATTCATTCGCTGCTCCTGGTGGTCCCAACACCATTTCGTCACCAGACTCTACAATGGGTACTGATTCATCAGCAAATGCTGACGTTATCACTATGCCTACTGGGTCACAAATCTCGGAAAGATCCGTGCCACCGGCTCGGAATCTGACCGATCTTGCACCCGTAGGACCAAGAAGATCGATGAGAGCTACAACAAGATCTACATCGCCTATAACGTCTACCGCGAGATCCCCAAGAAGGAGTATAGAGAAGAGACGTGACGATGATAGAGGAACAAAAGAGCAAAGAAGAGAGATTCAGCTGGGTGAAGAATTGAGATCGGCGAGAAACGCATACAATTTTCTTCATGAAGAATATGAATGCATCCAAGCCGGATACTCACGACTACACCACGAGGCTGAAGTGGAGTTCAGGCAAATGTCTGACTACAACAGGAAGATGCAGGAACATCTACAAGAGATGACACAGGAAGATGAAGGAGCGACAATAAGAATTGAAGAGCTCGAACACAAGCTACGCTTGGCGGAATCGACAGCTGAACATATCTACATGAGATATCAAGAGCTTGCACAAGAAACTCATCAAGAACATTCAGAGCTTGAATCTGTGAAAGCAACGAAGGACAGAATGTCCCAAGAGCTTCAAGCAGCAATTGGACACATCCAAGAACAGAATGAATCTTCATTGGCGATCAATAGAAGATCAAAAGCCATTCAGGATGAGAACACAGCCTTCGTCGGAATAGCTGACCAGATACAAGCTAGAATGATTGCGCTACAGGATGAGAATGTCAACATGCACGAGGTGATCCAACACCAGAGAGAAGAACAATGGAACAGTGAGGTCAGGGAAAGACGTCTTCAACACAGTGTTCACTCATCTCAAGATCAGAGCAATCAGGAAGCTATGGTTATTGATCATCTACGAGGTCAACTAGCTATGGCACGTGGAGCTGAACTCAACGCGAGAGCGGAGATAGGAGAGATGGAAGTGGGCATGAGGATGGAGATGTTTGTATGCCAGACTGAAGTCTCTGCTAGAGAAATGGCAGAAATGAAGGCGAGCCACCATGAATACGAAGCAAACGTCGCAAAGGAGGTTATCGCAAAAGGAGAAATATTCAACAACGAAGTCCTAGAAAGTTCCATCCGTGAACGACAACAATTGAAAGACGTCAACCTCGCTCTATCCGAAGCCAACGCACAGCTGAAAAGAGAGAATATGATGAGAGCTCCTATGTTCGGCGATGATGGTGCTGAAATTCAACAGAAGATCAGAGAACTGGAGAATGCACTATTGGAGAGCCAGAAGGAGACAAAGAATGTCATTATGGAAAATGCGAAATTAAAAGCAGAAGCACGAATGGCACCCATAGTCTCTCGGTACAGCAAGCGTCCTAGTTCCAGAGACCGCGGGTTACCAACCCACGCGTCCGAGGAAGATGAGATTCGGAACGCAAAAGAGGAGGCGAAGCACTACAAGGACGGGTACAATGAAATGACAGAGAGCCGAGATGAGATGTATGAATGGTATGCCGAAACCCACAATGAGTACGCCGAGGAAAGGGAGAAATCAATTGAGCTATCCGAGGCGAACAAATCATTGAGGGATAAGATTTCAGAAGCAGAAGCATCCTCTTCATCTCATCTTGCACCGGCAACCTCTACAATCATGAAAGTATCGAGGAAGGAAGAATCAAAGATAAACGTTCCGTCATGGCCCAGGATCAATGATCTTGGACTATGGAAGGCAAATCTCATTCAATCGATCATCATTGCGGCCAATGATTCAGATCAAGAGCCCTGGATCGACTGGATCAAAGAAGCCATGGACGATCCTGATCCGGACAAGTTTGTCGACTCAGGAGACCAAAGATTCCATTCAATCGATGCCAAACTCGGCCTAGCTCTTACCAAGGTCGTCATGGATGCGAAAGATGATGGTTCAGGTGTAGCTATGAAGTTGAGGACGAGGATCAATGCAAAAGGGAGAACATCAAGCCTCATAAAGGGAAGAGAGGTCCTAGCCCTGATCCTTATGAATTTCAAGACAACATCAAATGTGGAAGTCTTATATACTTCAATGCACCTTTACCAACTAGAATATCAAGGAGACAAGAACTTATCGTTGTTCTTCCACACTTGGGATGAGATTCTGGCAGGAATGAAGCCCGTTGACGTCCCGAGCGACGAAACTCTTCGGGATCTCCTATGGAGAAAGATCAGGAACTCAAACCTCATGGCATACGACATCAGCGCCTACAATAGCATGAACGACGATGATGCCAAGAAGACATACAAACATCTACGTGATATGATCAGAAGGCACATCGAACGGCAAACTGAAGACAGGATGATCCTGGAAAAGGAGAAGGCAGTGAAGAATGTGGCCAATATCTTTCAGAATCTCAAACCAGGCGGACCTGCTCCAAAACTGAAAGCTGCACCAGCTGATCCGAAGAAGAAACCAAAAGGGCAACAAGAACAGGTTGTCTCAGAAGACGCTGCTGCAGTGAAGCCGAAACCCAATCCCAAGAAGCATCCTGAAGACAAGAACAAAAAGGGAAAGGGGAAAGGTAAAGGTGATGGAAAGGATCGCAGCCGAAGTCCGAGTGCAGACAAGAAGAAGATACCGTGCAAATTCTTTGTGAAAGGTAACTGCACTATGGGGAAAGATTGCCCATTCAGTCACAAGAAACCCAGATCACCATCCAGAGGATCTTCTGTCGGAAAGAATGACAAGCCAGTATGTTGGATGTGGATTCGAGGAACTTGTGACAAAGGGAAGGATTGCAAGTTCTACCATGACCCAAAAGCCTCTCCTCAGAAAGGGATATCTGCACCAGCTGACTCAGGAGACGATAGGCCAAAGCCCAAGGCAAAACCCAAACCGAAGCCTAAGGCGAAGCCTGGAGCCCCAGCCATTGACGGTGAACTTCTCATGGACGAATCCGAAGATGAAGGGATTGCTGCATCCGCCAAGGCAAGAGAAGGAGGTGCAAAAGTGTCCTTTGATGAAGAGACTTGTGAAATCATGTTGAACGAAGCGATCTACTCAGTCAGGGACAAATGGAAGGTAGTAGAAAAGAAACCTCTACGTCCGGACATCAAACGATACGATGAGAAAGAGCTCACCTGCTACACGAGGAAAGAACAAATCAGATTTGAAGAAAAGGTCGCAGAGGCGAGAGGCATATTGATGGTCCCCTACACTGAGATCAAGAGGGTCCGAATACCAGTTGGACCAAAGGGTGATCTATCGGTCACTATGTCTTTTGAAGAAGATGACGGCCTAGTTTTTCATCATAAAGTCATTCCTCATGTATGCGAGGGAAAGAAAGATCATGCAGACACAAAGACATTGTCTATTCCAGCCAAAGGATCAAGAACAAAGTTCATCATGGACACAGGATGTGGGTATGATTTGATATCGAAAGGCAGAGCCAAGAAATTAGGTCTGGAAGTGAGAGAAAGCGACCAATCAATGTCATTCTATACCGCAAATGGAGTGACATCCACAAAGGGGGTCGCCGACATTCATTTCGACGAATTTGACTCTACCTACTCCCCATTCGTCTTAGATGAGTCTCCTTCAGTACTGTCTGTTGGAAAGAAATGCATGGAAGAAGGATACACATTCATATGGCCAGCCTGCGGCAACCCCTACATGGTTTAAGAAAATCATGTTAGAAGTAGAGGGAAACATCCCATATATTGTCAAGGGCAGTGACTTCTGTACTCCCACCGACGACACTAGGGCGGAGATGATCGCAAGGTTCACCCTAGGAGAAGATGAAGCTGATTACCAATCGACTTTCATCAACTGTGATGTGGATCCTCAAGGAATCATGTGTGATGATGACGACCTTCCCGTGATTGAGCCTCCAAAAGTCAAAAGGCGAAAGAGGAATAAGAAGTTCAAGGCATCTCCTGGAGAAGAAGATGAGGTAGGATCAGATGTCGCCGGAGACAGTGAACCAGAAGCTGACGATGATGATGCAGATGACATCGAGGTGGATGTTGTTGACGGTGCAAGTAGAATGGTGAGAAGAGGAACTCTGAAAGCAGATGCCAGGAAAATCGAGCATCTACTCACACATCGTTACAAGAATCCCTACTGTGAGTCATGCATCAGAGCAAAGATGAAACACTTTAAGACGCATCGAGGAGCGTTCAAGAGAAAGCTCAAAGCTTTTGGAGATCTGGTTACCTTTGATTTTGTCGATACGAGGAACATCCTTGATCAAGGGATCAGTACTGATCGAGAGATCTTCGTCATTCGTGACAGGTACACAGGCGTCATATGGGCCTATCCGTCGAAAGAGAGGTTTACCAAGGACGTGGTCAATGCAATAAACCACTTCAAAGGATTGAAGAAGATCAAGATTGCTTATGCCGACAAAGCCCCAGAGTTTGAGACGGCTATGAAGCAGCTGAAGATCCCATTCGATCACTCTCTACCGAATCATCCTCAGAACAATTCTCTGGCGGAGAGGAACAATCAGTTCATTATGATGACAACCGCAACTTGTCTCTTGGAAGCGGGGTTACCACCATGTTTCTGGAGCTATGCAGTAGAATGCGTCAGCCATCTTTTGAACATTGAGGAAGGAGAGGATGGAGTGAGCCCTTGGTACAAGCTACATGGAAAAGAGTTCCATGGAG